CCACTGAGGTCCACCTCTGAGGTCCTCCACTGGACTCCACCACTGAGGTCCTCCACGGAGCTCCACCACTAAGGTCCTCCACTGAGCTCCTTCACTGAGCTCCCTCACTGATCGCCTCCTCTGAGGTCCTCCACTGAGCTCCTCCACTGATTACCTCCTCTGATTGCCTCCACTGAGCTACCAGTCCCCAAGTAAGTCTTTACACATCAAATAGTGTGTGATGTAAGCTTTCTTATTTTTTTTGTACCGGGTTTGAACCCATGGGAGCTCTACCACTGAGCTATGGCTCCAACCCTTTTTATTTTTTATTTTGGAACACGGTCTTGCTAAGTTGCTAAGACATGTATGATCCTCCTGCCCCAGCCTCCCAAGTCAGTGGGATCATGGGCGTGGCCATGGCACCCAGCAAACCGCCAACTCTACAGCAGGGACACAATTTCCCAACCAGGACAAGACCGGGGCGCCCTTCCTGTGCTTGACACGACCTTGATGGATTCTTCCAACAGTCCCATCTCACGGTGAGGCAAGCCAGGCAAGCAAGCCATCCAGGGCCACGTTCCCAGGTGCCCTGGTGGGCGCTGGCCCCGCTGTCCACCGAAGGTCCTTCACTGCCCGCCCGAGCCAGGGAGGTTTCATCTTGCTAAAGATGCAATTCTTTTTAACTCCCCAGAGGAGACGTTTAAAAAGAAGAGCAAGCGGATCCCACGAGCCTCACGGGCGCGAGGACTGAGCCAAGTGCCTCCCTCACCCCAGCATCTGCCAATGGGTTTGCTGGCCACCTGGCCACCTGGCCACCTGCACCACGTGAGCCCCTCCTAGGAGCTGAGCCGCCTGGGGAGGTGTAGGCAGCGGGCTCTGCCTCAGGCCTTGGGAGAGCAGGGGTAGCCTCCAGGTATGCAGGGAAGACTGAGAACTAGCCTCCAGCCCAAACCCACAGCAGCGAGTGCTGAGTGCTGGACAGGGGGGTCCCAACCACACATCAGACCCCTTCACACAGCTCCTTCAAACACGGTACACGCGCCTGCTTGGAGCCCAGCCCGAGTGGGAGCTAGGCACCCCTCCGCCTGCCTGGCCAGTCTATGGATGACAGCTGGGGGAGCTGTGGCCCCACGTGCCATCACCCTGCAAGGAGTGAAGGCCACAGCCTGAGCAAAGGCCCTGTGCCAGAGGCAGCACGGAGACAAGAGGGAGCAAGAGGAGCGAGACGGGGCCAGACCCGCCAATCCTGGTGCCGGGTGGCAAACACAGAAGAGAAGTGCCCTAGGTTCTGTGGATGGTCAACCCAGGAGGGCTCTGTCCAGGGCCATGGGCAGCCCCCACCAAGGCAACTCCTACCCGCAGGCCCTCTCAGCAGATCTAGCCTGGCACAGGAAGGGACAGCTTCCCAGCCTGGGACACTCAGAAGTCAGGAGCCCATCCACCTGGACGGTGCTCCCAGCAGTCAGACCTCCCTGTGCTGGGCTAGCTGATGATCAGGAGAAGTGGACGCACACCCGGGCAGCTGCTGAGAGCGCTCACAGGAAGTCTATGCCAGGCCCAGAGACGGCCCTGCTGGTCCCTGCCAGACCCCTCTGAAGGTCTGGAGCCTGTGGCGGCATGCACCAGCAGCCCCTGGCATGGCCTGGCTCCGAGGACGCGCCAAGCCGTGTGGTCCGGTGGAGAGACGGGCAGCCCAGCAGGTAATGAGAGGGGGACGAAGTCAAGGTGAGGCCCGAGCTCAGGCCGGCCAGGCACCACTCCTTATGTAACGCGGTGGCTGCCTCTGAAGGAGCCACGGAGCAGCCACTGCTGGCCCCATGGCCAAGGCAGGGCCTGGTGGCTCAGCGCAGCCCTGGCCAAGACAGGCACAGCCGCTCCAGTGGCCTCGGTAAGGGGCTTTTGGGGGAGGGGCCCTCACCCCTCAAATGTCCCTGGTCAAGGCCCTGACTAACCCAACCAAGGGCCACAGCACTAGAAGCCACCCACAAGGTCTGAATCCTGGCCCCGGCTCTAGAGACCCAGGCCGCATCTACCCGGTGGGGCCTGTCGGCCCTACACAGCCACGTGTGGCCACAGGAAGGGAAGAGGCCCAGCACCCCAGGCACGGGGAGTGTGACACAGCTCGATCCGTGCAGCAGCACCGGGTGCACAGGCCCCGCCGTGCCTACCACCAGCAGCAGGTCGGGTCCCAGATCCCAGCGACAGCAGCCTGGGCCAGGGGGAGGGCGCCCTCTGCCCAGGGCCCCTTCCTGGTCCTTCCAGGCCCAGCTCCCCTCAGCCTGGAGGGGAGCCTGGTGGTGGTTGTTTTTTTTTCTAAAAGCACCTTGCAAAATGGACGTCAGAGAAGCATCCCGGCTCCCCCATCCCCACCAAAGACCGCGCAGCCCCGGGTCCCCATCTACCTCCAACCATTTCAGAATAGAGAAGGGGACTCCAGAACCACAACTCCCCGCAGACCTCCAGGGACCCCGTGGAGGGAGCCGCTAGTGCTGCGCGAGCCGCCCAGACTCCAACATGACGCTGCTGTCAGACAGGCAGGAGGCAGGCTGCTCCTGAAAGCCCCAAGCCCCGCGAGCCAGCAGCGAGCGCGGCGTTGTTCATGGAAACAGGTGCTAGCGGCTCACGCGTGGCCCCAGCGACGACCCTGGTCCCCAGGCGTCACCACAATCTGCCTGCCTGCAGCAATGCAGGACGGAGAGAGCCGGACGCGCACCTCTGCTCCGCTCACGGCACCACCGCGCCAGCCACAGCACACTCCCACGGCCAGCACCTCCCCAGGGCCCCAGTGGCAGGGAGACCAGGCTGCCCCGCCATGCCAGCCTCTGCAGCAGCTCCCAACCCCAGGCTGGGGGCACCACCGTGCCACACGCTTCCTCCCCCCACGCCCGCGCTGCCCGCCTCGCCAGCCCGGCGGCGGGCATCTTTCTAAAAATCTCCCAGCCTGGGAAGCCCAGCGCTCCTCACCGTACGTCCCCCGACACCATCCTGAGCTGCCGCGGCCACATCCCAGACCCGGCAGCGAGTCAGAGTCCGCGGACTCAGCGCCGGAACATCTGTGCAGCACAGGCTGTGGCAGCGCCAGGACGCGAGACCCGATCGCCGCCTGGCAGCCCCAGAGCCGCAGGCACACGGCCTGCCACCAACGCTGCGCTGCAGGCCTGAAGCCACCCCAGGGAGGGCCACGCTGCTCACCGCTTTCTTCTCCTGCCTCCTCAGCCAGGGATTCTTTATGCTCGGCGGAGGGTGGGCGTGCAGGGAGGCATCTTCCTCCCTCGCCAGCCGAGGCTGCGGCCCCGTCTCCCGACTGACAACAGGCAGGGTGGACTTCTGCTGGAGAGCGGCTTCTGGGGGCAGGCTGGCCGAGCTGCGCCCCCCCTCACATCCCTGCCTCCTCGTGTCTCAGGCCCGGGTGGTACCGGCTCCCCCGGGAAGCTGTAGCCGGCAGCTGAGGCACAAACTAAAACACGGCATGGATACCGAGGAGCTGACGTCACACAAAAACAAGCCACCAGCCGCTCCGCACGAGCAGGGCTGAGGGAGGACGGACGCGCAGGGCAGGGCAGGGCGGGGAGCCCGCTGACGGTCCTGCAGGCCGCCCAGGGCTGGGATTTGGGAGTAGCCACGGGGGCAGGCAAGCAGCCTCTGACCTACATCCGGGGGGCTCCACGGACACTGAGCGCCGCGGGCACCAGGCCTGAGCCGGGATGGGGGTGCTGTGGTCCCAGCCATCGCGGGCCAAACTCTGGTGTCAGGTGGCCTTCCGAGTTGCTGCACCACCACAAGCAGGGGACAATGGGCACTGGCAGCTGAGCTGCCCAGGGAGGAGAGACTCCCCTCCTGGCATGAAACCCACGTGCCACAGCCGAAGGCGGAAGGTGCTCAGCACCCCACGTGGGGAGGTGCCGGGCTGCAGCAGACCTGGGCCACCGATGGACGGCTTGACCCCCCACCCTCACCCTGGTGCCCAGCAGTGGCCTGGGCCCCTCCCCGGAGCCTGCCTGATGCTCACACGGTGGGCTTCGTGCTGCAGGACACGGGGAGTCACGGGGGCCTCTGCCACCCTCCCCTCAGCCAACAACCGGCAGGTCCAGGGGTCTGGGCGGGGCTCCTCCCACTGAAGCTGCTGCCACAGCCATGAGAAGGCTCCAGGGTCCCAGCACGTTCTAGGTTTGAGGTCTTTGATGGGCTGGCGTTTGGAGTCGGGTGACCCTGAGGAACTGTCCCTCTCGGATGGTCCCTGCAGGGAACCACACACTTCAGGCCAGGTCACCAGGGACACCCCTGTACCCTAGAGCCCACTGCAATGACCCTGCCACCTGGCCCTCAGTCTGCTCGCCCGGCCTCCCCCAGCAGCCTCTCCCACACACTGGCACCCTGACGGCCCCCGCACTCCCCCATGGGCCCGTGTGACCCGAGGAGCCCTTCCCCGGGGACCTGAGCCAGCCAGCTTCTCAGTGCATCCCCCCGGTCATCTCCTGCTCTGCTGGCCCTGCCACAGCTGAATCACGGAACAACTGTTGGGCTGGTAAGTCTGTCCACCGCAGGCAGAGGGCCGGCCCAGCCTCCTGGAGTGTGGACGCACCACAGGCCTGAGGTGCCCTAGGCCAGCTAGATGAGCACTCGCTCTACCTTAGTAACTGGCTGAAGGAAGAACGAGAGCCATCAGGCCTTGAGGGACGAGCACAGCTCGGGAACCTGCAGCCCCCACTCACCCAGGGTCACCCCCAGAGGCCATGAGTGCCCACAGCTCTGCTTGGCCCACGAGCCCAAGGACACACAGTCACACAGCAACAGAACCCCGCATCCACGCTGGCCCTCGGCAGGAAAAGCAGACCGGCCTCGGGTCCGACGTGGACACCACACCTTCAGCGTCCCTTCGCAACACGGCCCCCAGCCAGCTTCTCTGTCCCAGTCCCTTCCCAGACGTCCAGCTCTGCAGAACTCGGGAAGTTCAGGCTGAACGGGCAGACGGCTAATTTTGTTGGACGCCTATTTTAGGCAGAAAAGTAGTTTTTCCATTTTGCGGCAATGAACGAGCCTGGGTGTCTCACACACTGACCGACAGACAGACCTGTCCACGGGGTGGTCACAGTGCTACGCCAGCTGGGGAAGCCTGGGGTAACCGTCCACCCACGGAGAAGGTGCTTGGCCCTGGCGGACAGTCCTCCTCTACAGGCAGGGTCCCCGCCTGCACTTGGCTTCCTCAGGGGGACGCGGCAGTGGGCTGGGGCACACCTGATGGGACCTCCCGTGCCACCTGCCCTGAGGAGGCTCCAGGGCCCTTCCCGCATCCTCTCGTGGTGCCCTTTTACAAAGGGGAAACTGAGGCACAGGGCACCCTGCCCGCCAGCCTAAAGTCACAGAGGGCTCCTAGCAGGACAGCAGTGCCACACGGTGCCAGCGCCATGCCCTCCTGCACCCGAGGTCAGGCTGCCCCAGACAGGCTGTCACCTCAGCACACCAGGCCCACCGGCAGCCCACTGTGGGGACCCTAACCCGCTGGATCCCTCTGCCCACTCTGCTTCTGGCGCACTGTCTGGGTCAGGAGGCACCCAAGGCTTCAAAATTGGAAAAGAGGTGGACACAGCCAGGACACCACAGGTGGAGGAGGTGAGAGGACCGAGAGCAGGGGACATAAGGGGGTGTCACACATGGGGAACGGGAGAAAGCGACAGAGACAGGACAGAGACATGGGAGAGGGGTGCATGGGGAACAGGGCAACAGAGGACCTTGGGGGCAGGGGACATGGGCAGCAGGAGACATGGGCTAGGGACACAGGTGCTAGGGACACGTGGGCAAGAGTCAGGCCTAGAGTGAGTCCACCATTCAGTCGGCCCCAGGGCGCCCCGCGGAGCTCAGCCCCGAGACCCCTATCCTGCTGGGCGTCCACCTGAGGCGGCATAAAGCCACCGGGTGCTGGGGAGTGGGACCGCACTCACTACCACCCACAGGAGGCAGGGCAGCGGGAACTCCACCTGGCCACCAACTACGGGGCCCAGAGTGGCACCCGGCATCCCGCTCCCAGAACCTGCAGGCGTGACCTCATCTGTAAAAGGCTCTTTGCAGATTAAATCTGTGATCAAGTCAGATCTTGGACGAGTGTCCTGCCACCCAGGTGCCCTGCACCAGCGACCACCGCGCTCCTGAGCAGAGGCAGGCACACAGAGAGGGTGTGCAGCACCCTGGACGCCCAGACGCCGGGGGTCTGAGGGGGCCAGCCTCGCTGCCCCTGGCTCTCCACCTGCAGGCCCAGCCCGGGGCCAGTGCCCGGAGCCTCAGCAGCACCAGGCTCTGGAGGGAGGGCAGGCCTGGCCCACGACCACTGCACCTGGCCGTCCTCCCAGGAGGACGTGTCTCCACCTAATGAGACCACTCGGACGGGCTGTCCTGGGGCGCTCAGAGGTCACAATGGCCCTCCTGGGTCACAGGTGCCGCTGAGCTGACCCCCCACTCATGGGGGTCATCTGGGTGGGCAGATGGAGATGAAGCACCCCCCAGGTCCAGTCTGGAGACTCGTGGGGCTGTCCACCAGGGATGGAGCAGCGTGGCTGGCGTGGTCACTTGCTGGAGGAGCTGCTCCTTGGCTCTCAACGCCCTGCTTCAGTCCCCTGCCTCGGGAAGGTGCCCGTGGTGGCTCAGACCTGCAGGCCACCAAGTGTCCAGAGTGAGCCCACCGGCTAAGGGACCTGCCCGTGCTCACTGCACCCGCGGTCCAGGGCTGTGGTCACTTGTGTCTGAGAGAAGAGACATCGTGCCACGGTCAGCTGAGGGGTCAATGCCACCCTGGACATGGACATCTGTTCCAGGATCAAAGATCAAAACACAAGAAACAAAACATTCCCACCACAGGGAGAGCTGGTCAGGGAAGCCTTAACAGGCCCCCTGTGGGAGAGCCAGGCGGGGACCCAGGTGACAGCAGGCACTGCCAGGCCCAGAAAGGGCCCGGCCGGAGGACACGAGGCCATGCCTATGCAGTCCCGGGCACACGGGAGCACGGCAGTGAGGCCCCAGGTGCCCACGTGTGCCACGGAGCCCCCGTGCCCCTGCCCAGCACGTTTTGCAGCAAGTGACCTTGGACATCAGCGCCACTAAGCAACCTCTGTGCTTCAAGGAGTGACAGGAGCCCATGGGGACTCACCCATCTAGGCAGCCCACCTCATGGTCCTCACCTGCCCCAAACCCCAGAGCCTGGATTCCTCAGGCACCACCGCCCCCGGCAGTCCTGGCCCAGAAACACTCCCCCCAGGCAGGGACCCTCACTGCCGGACAGCAGAGCCCAGCCTCCCAGCCACACCCTACGGCATGCCCCTCGTGCACTGACCAGCACCAAGGAGCTGACCTGGAGGCCACCGGCACAACTCCCCCAGACTGAAGTCCGTGAGGGGACTGCGAACCAAGTGACCAGTCCAACGTTCCAAGAACCGCACCTTGTGTGAGGGCCTGCAGTGGCACTGCCCATGAGGGCCAAAGGGGGGATCAGCCCAAGGAGGTGTGAAACCCAGCAAGTCCACGTTGACTCAGCATAAAGAGGAAGAGCGGCACAGAGAGACGCAGGGCTGAGCCACAGTGAGCCCTGCGGCCCAGACCGGCCCCCACAGCACACACAAACACCAAGACCAGGGTCAGCACTATGACCTGAAGAGACAGACACAGGAAGTGCCTGGCCCCAACCAAAAGGTCATGAAGTGGGCACTGGGGACAGAGGTCCTGGGAAATCCAGTTTTGTGAATGTCGGGGGACACCCTCGACAGCCCAGGAACAGGGGCAGCGGGGACAGGGCCAGGGCCAGGGGGACAGACCCCGCACCAGTCAGCTCCCAGGGGAGCCTGGCCGGGGCACCGCCCATGCACTGGACTGGAGACCCGCACCAGCCCTCGCCCAGCTCTCCCGGAGGACTGAGGGAGGACGGGCCTGCTCCCTCTGAGACACACCGTCCCACACCAGGGCCAGAACAGGGCTCTCCATGCCCAAGCCTGGTGTGGACCTCAGGCTGGACACCCGGAGCCGGACACCCCAGGGCCATCAGGGTCACCCTGCAGCTTCCCATCCAGCCAGGCAGAGGGCAGCACGGGAGGGGGTGCAGGTCAGAGACGAGCCACGCTGGCCACCCCTGGGTCCCAGTGCCCGGCTTCTGACCTCAGCCAAGGCTCCATGGAATGTTCTGACAAAGCTGGGTGGGCCCCAAAGCCTCGGAGCCAGCCCTGCCAAGCACCTCGAGGACCCACTCATGTGCCCAGCAGCATTCTCTGCATGCCCCTGCCCGGTCACACCCCACTTCCACTGTCGGGCATCCTGCACCCCCATGCCCAGGCCTCAGCTGCAGGACCCTGGGGCAGGCTGGCCTGGGGTGCACCAGTGCCCCGAGCTGCAGCAAACGCCCAGCCACACAGTGTGTCAGCAGAGCCAGAAAGTCACAGGGTGGCAACAGACCCGCTCAACACCCTCCTGCTGACCAGCAGCGTGAAGGCAGAGGAGCACACAGACAGGGCGGCCCTTGACATCCGTCCCGCGACACCGGCCCTGTGATACTCTTTATGTGCCCATAAAGACACCCTTGCTGG